CCCAGAGACTCCTTTAAAATGATAGTAATAGCGAAACACATATGACCTTCAACCAGCATCATAATAAGGTTTCTATATAAGCTTGAACTTGCAACACAGGAGCTTCCCCTATCTGTGGTCATTTTCTCTAGTTGCAGTGGTATAGGAAAATTCTCCAACCTCCTTCCATTTATCTACTTTGCAGATCAAGATGTGGCACCCATTTGCACAGACTAGGTCTCTCATGGCCTAAGATAAAACAAAGAGAAAGAAGCAGAGGGCCACACTAGGGATTGTGGGGGAACTCCGAACTTATTCTTTTTTTTTTTTTAATTAGGATTTGGGTGAAGATTTACAGAGTAAATTCACTTTTCATATAGCAGTTCACATATACTTTGTCTCATGTCATTGACCAAAATCTACAATGCAACAGCTCCCCTCCCACTTCCTCCCAATAGTTACCTCCTCCCAGTGTCCATCCCTTCATACTCTTCTGCATCCTGAGCTATCTCCCTGTGCATAAGCAGCCCTTCCTTCTCCCATGATTGTTCTCTCCAGGGCGTGTGTCTACTTGAGGTAAATGTTTAACTTACATGCCTGTACTTTGTTTGGCTGGAAACCACAGTTGTGGGTTCAATTCCAGACCTGAAGGGCAGCTAGGGGCCATAGTCTAGTGGTTACACCAGACTCTATTGGACCAGCAAACCTGGTCCCCACCTTCTTTATTTTTATTTATTTATTTTTTTTGCCTCCAAATGATTTTGAGTTTTGTTCCACATTGTTCTCCCTCTCTATGCAGGATCTCCTACATCCCTTCCAAGTGGATGGCAGTGGTAGCTGGGCACCATCTAGTTCTTCTGGTCTCATAGTTGTATAGGTTGCAGATCGGATGGTGTACCAGTCGTTAGGACTGATTGTTTCCATTAATTTTGGTTTTCTTCTTTCTTCTTGACGAGGAGAGACCCGTTGTTGCATCTAGATGGCAGCTTCCTAGCTTCCGAACTTATTGTTAAAGCAGCCCTTGTGCACTTTCCTATTTACTTCTCTGGTGGTCTCAGGAATAGTTTCTTTACTTTTTATACCATCTTTGCTCTTGCTTCTCAGGAAAGATTATCCACCTGAAACACAGAGGAGTTAAATACCACCACAGTTTTTCCCTTAACATTTTGTCCCTAAAGCAAGCCCTCAGCTATTTTGAGTTTCCTCAAAGGAGTAGAAATGTTTTGCTTGATTGCCCTCCCATTCTTATTCACCTAAGCTCCCAAAGAAGTTCAAAGACTGAACACTGAAAGAAAATCCAGGCTTCTGCTGGTCATTTCATCCTTGGATCTGGAATAGATTAAGTAATGGAGATCAAAGACATCCAAGTAGATATAAAATCCTTGTTTTTAGTAACACACAGTTAATTAGTCACTTGGACTAGAGCTGTTTCACAAGAGTAAGGGGTCAAAAGCATGATTATAGGTTCAAGGGAAAAATGGGAAGAGAGGAATTGAGACCATAGTATAGGCAATTCTTCCAAGATGTTTTGCTGTAAAGAGAGCCAAGAATTGAGGTAGTTAACTGGAGCAGGGTGTGGAGTCAAATAGAGATTTTTTTTTTTTTTCTCCCTAAGGATTGGGGCTATTACAGCATGCTTGTATGCTGAGGGTAATGATGACATGGAGAAGACATTGACTATCAGAGCAATGTCCTTGAATAAACAAGAGAGAGTGGTATCAGGTGCTCATGTTGAGGGATAGGCTTCAGAAGGGAGTGCAGTGGTTGATCCATTCTAATGAGAGGGAAGGAGCATATGAGTGTGTAGTGCATAGATGGTAGATGTGGGTGAGAGCTGGTGGGAATTCTCTTCTGACTGCTTCTATGAATGAGTTAAATGAGAGTGAAGGAGGACATATTAGAGATCTGAAGAGAGAGGAGAAGGTGTGAAATAGTTGTCTCAGAGAATAGACTACGGAATTGTAGTGGGATTAAAGTCAGATTTGAAGATTATCATCATCAATTTCAGTGAGACCAGGAAAGAAAAAAGAGCATGTGTGTGACCTTGGACATACTGTGCTAATGTGGTTTACATAGGTTTTCTATCTGCTTTACAAAGTTATCACGAGAACTAAATGTGTCAGAAGGCATTTTGAAGTAGAAGTCCAGGCCATTGCCATTAAACTTAGCTTTGAATAACTTAGCACTTTTCTTTAGCCAAAAGCTTTTCAAATTTCTTTAAGACAGCTTCAGTGTCTCTAGAGATAATATTTGGCTTCTGCACTGATTTATTCAGTAACTAAGTCTAGGCAAATGACTTAACCTCTTTTTTAATTTATAAAATTGAGAATGGTAATGTTCAAAGTGCAACAATGATTCGTAAATAAAGGGGGTACATAAATACAAGCTCTTAATAACATGGTATCCCATCCCTCACTGGTATAGTCACTGTAAGAGGCCAGAGCATCTGAACAAGCCGGAATCCTTGGGTGGGAGAAGCTTCCCTGAAGAAGCTTTGAAGGGAAAGGAAAGGAAAAGTGTCTTTAAGAACCCAGACACTGGACTCAAGGCACCACCACATTATTTCCTTTGATTCTCAGAGCTACTCTTTGAGTTGATCATTATCCCAGTTTTGTAATTGAAGAATTTGAGACTAAAAGAGGTTAAGGAACTTGTTAAAGCCAGTGGTAAAGCTTGGATTTCAATCCAGATTTACTTAAAAATCCCCTGCTCTTTCTATTTAGCCACATACAGAATTGGAGTTGATACATTGTAGCCATAGAAGGTACAATATATATTCTACTGAATACCCGGACCCATATTTTAGCCAACTTAACTTCTTCTCTCACATCAAATATTCAACTGGAGTTTCCCAGTCTCAGAATAAACTGGTTTGCTGGAGATATCATCATATGATAGAGCAGTTTATAAGAAGTCTGATATAAGAAAGACAGGAAGGTTTGAGGGAAGAAGCAGTAAGCAGACTAAAAATTTTCACTTAGCTACAAATGCAGTTTTCACATACTCCTTGAAACAAGAGTGGGCTCTCGGGGGGTGGGGGGGAATGTACATAGTCATGGGAGCTGCAATGATACCATGTCTGTTAGGCTATTCCCCATAAATGCAATATGTACATTATAAACTATAGAGCATAAACGACTCTAAAAGAAAAATCACTGCTCTATTAGATTGTGATTTTTGAGTAACAATTGCCCACCTGATAGAGAAGATGATAGGGAAAGTGTATTTATTTTCTTTCAACAGCTAAAAGGTGATCATACTTCTAAAATGTGTTGAGATTGTCCAAGAAAGTGTGTAAAATACTCATCCATCACTGGAAGCCCCTGGCCAGGAAATGACAGTGCAGTAAATATCTTCAGCAGCCACCTTTTAATGTACAAGCTGTTTTCAGTTGGAATTTTCAGCACTCACATAAAATACACTGTCATGAGTGACTGCTCGTGCTCCAAAGTCATTACTATTGGGATAATGGAACATCTCTCAGAGAATAACCAAAAAACTTTAAATGTCATGTCAAGTTTGCCAAAGCCATTTTCAAGCCCCATTCAAGGTTACATGAATATTGAAGGTGTCTGTTTTTCAAAAGTTTAAGATCTATGAGAACAAGCTCTCCTAAGATTTTGTGATACAAGAGTCAGTTCATTAAAAAAGAAAAAAAAAAATGTCATGTTCTTTGAGAAAGGCAACCTTCTACAGCCATTTAATCATTATCTATCGCAACTCTCTTCTTACAGTTTTGATAAGTCAAGATCATTGTCACTTAACAATAAAAGAATATATGTGTGTATAGATATACTTGTACATAGGTATATATATATATATATAGAGAGAGAGAGAGAGAGAGGTGTATGTTTGACAATTATGGTTTCTAGGAAAGTTTAACAATTTGCCTTCTGATTTCAGTATTTCTTTTAAGGGAAATTGTTGGCTTTATTAAATCCTTATTAGAAACATTCCTCCTTGGCTTTGTTCAAAAAGGAAATTAATATCGTTATCATTCAAATTAATGCTTATCTTTGGTCAAATAGTATGGAGATAATTTCTTCGCAACACGTATTTATTGAGCACCTACTTTGCACCAGAGAGTCCCTGGGTAGTACAAACTGTTACTGTGCTCTTCTGCTAACCAAAAGTTTGGTAGTTTCAATTCACCCAGAGGCACCTCAGAAGAAAACCTGGTGATCTGTTTCTGAAAACTCAACCACTGGAAACCCTATGTAGCACAGCTCTACTCTGATCCACATGGAGTCATGAGTCAGAGTCGACTGTTGACAGCTGGTGGTACCATCAGCCCAGTGGGGCCATCTTAGACACTGAGGATACCCCCCCAAAAAAACTAAACTCACTGCTTTTGAGACGAATCCGACTCATGGTGACCCCTCCTTGGATTTCCGAAGCAGTATCTCTATGGAAGTAGATTGCCCAATCTTCCTTCTGAGGAGTGAATGGTGGGTTTGAACCACCAGCCTTTGGGTTAGCCATCAAATGCCTTAGGCACTATGCCACCAGAGCTCCCACTGAGAATACAGTAGTATTTAAAACTGCCTCTGCTGTCTTGAAGCATACATTCTAGTAAAGAGATAGACAATGAGCAAGTAAATAAATATATGATGGCTGGTGGTCATGAGCTCTATGAAGGAAAAGATGAGAGGTTAGGAGATAGTAACGAAAAGGAGGAGAGCCATTTTGGATGGACAGTTAGGGAAGGCTTCTCCAATTAGATGGAATTTGAGCAGAGACCTGAATGAGATATGAGACCAAGTCCTGATAACAACCATTTCTGGCATGACAGAAGAAGGAAATAAAAATCAATTCTAATAAAGTGGTTGTCTATTATATTTTAGTTTCCTCTTAACCTCTATATGTTTAAGTCTACCTTACTCTGTTGAATATACCAATTTTTCAGTTTAGTCTAAGAGGATTTGTTTGTTGAGAATAATTTTTTTAAATTTGTTTCCTAAATATGCCCAGTCTTGGTTATCACAGTGGTAAGTTTTATGTTTCTTTCTCCCTTACTGTAGAAAATCAGAAAATGCAGCTGACAGAAGGGTCACGTTCACACTCCAATATCAATTGCAACTCAACAAGAACTCCAGTCACCAAGGAGCTTAATTATAATCTAGACACTTGTCCATCTACAGGGAGGATGAAGGCAGCTGAGAAGAAGGAAGCCTGTAATGTAGAAAGCAACATAAAAAAGGAAATGGAACTTCTTGGCACTGTTTCTAAAAACGAATCAGTTCCCGAAGTTGAAGACCTGCTGGCAAGATTACGAGCTTTATAAATTAAACTGGTAAAAGATGATTAAGCCAAATATAAAGCCATGCTCTAAGCTATAACACTTGAAAAAATTGCTTTTATATAAGTGACTTTATATAGTTCTAAATTATGATATATATTAGAATATAAAGCTAAATACATTGATTGCAGTGCTTTTTCTATGTACTTGAAGCTTTGACTTATTGAAGATTGTAATGGACTTTAATGCTTTTTTTGTCTCCTGGTATATTCATCTGTTCTATATTTGCTGGTTAAATTATACATAATACTTTAGAGAGCAGGTAGGTGGCCATGTGTTCAGCAATGTGTCCTTAAGAAAGTACCATCTTTCTAAGTCACTGTTTTTTTTTTTTTAACTTTACCATTTTGAACAGTAATGAATGTCAAATCATCAACTTCATGTCTTGCTACATACATATCTGTGAACATTCCCTATATGGGTCCAGATTTCTCCTTCATCAGGGTCTACATGCTACCAGCATAGCATCAAAAACATATAACTGAGTATGTGAGGAAATAACTAGTAAGCTCATTATCATCATTGCTGAATTGGTGGTAATTAGACCCTGTAGGAGAGTATAAGGCAATTGAGCACATTTCCAAAAATGATGTAATAGGAGTGCAGTTCTATTTGCAAAATGCAGGTGCTTTTGTGTAAAGTGGATATACACAGTATTACAGTGCTTCTAAAACCTTCAGTCTTGTCAAGAGAGGATATTTTCCCCCTGGTAATTATGACTCTGGAATAAAATTGCCATTTTGAAACTTTCCAGGTAAAAAAAGTTTCTTGAATTTTTGAGTATATAAACCCAGAATGGCAATTTCTTTGATGTGACAATCAGTAAGTTTAATAAAGATCTTAATACATGTTTCAAGGAAAGTTTTAATATGCAGATGTTGCTATTTTACTTCATCTGGGACGTCATATTGTATCAGACAAAATAAACTTGCTACTTGCACTGAATGAAAAAAAGATACTTGCTTTTCTCTCTCTTTTTTCAGCTAGTATATTCTGTGGATAAACTGGAAATAGACTGCTGCTATTGGCCTAGCCAAGCGTCCATTTTGCCTTATTATGTGTAATAAGTTCAGTGACTGCTCTTTTACCTTCAGTTAAAAAGCAGTTATATGGAACTAGTCTGGCAATCCACTGCTTTTTATTTCCTTGTTTAAGTTGCCACCGCCTTTCAGGTCCAAGTTAATAAAGTTAATTAATTAGAACTAAGAACCAAGCACTGTTTATAGACATTGGGAAATAGTGTTATCCATAGCCAACACGGGAATAAATTGTCCTTTTATGTATTGCTGAAATGTGCATTTTGCCTTCCAGTTGCAACTCTTATTTTCCAGAAAACAAATTTTAAAAATCAAGAAAAGTGAAGGATGTTACACATTTAAGCAGACAGCAGCCCTAACAGCAAGACAGGGTTGTTTTGTTTAAGAAAGAAGTTAAATAAAAGAATTCTAAGTATCCGTTCTTAAAGTGGTTTTGGAAAGACTTGGTTTTTCAGAAACAAAACTTAAATTGAACCAGATAGTCTAGGCACACAAGGTCTAAACACTCTGGAAACTTGGGGCCTGGGAGCATCCACAGGGGAGAAACAGCTCGGTTGTTGTCGTTGTTGTTGTTGTTATGTGCCGTCAAGTCGGACCCGACTCCTCGGTTGTTGTCGGTAAGTAAAGGAAAGTGAAGATGACATTAGACTCCCAGGGGCAGAGGATGGCAGGGAAGCCCAGAAACCAAGCAGTGGGCCCCAGAGCCCCTGGTTGCAGGAGCTGAAGGACAACCTCGCAAGTGGGCCAGGAGTCTGCGGCAAGCAGAGCCTTAGCAGCTAGGCTCCCACAGATGAACGGCCACCCTCCCTCTCTGACCCTCTCTGACAGGAACCAGTTCTGAGCACACCTGACTAGGAGAACTATAGCTAACCCACAAAGAGGCTGTGCCAAGACAGGGAACATTTTCACTGGAGAGATTTCCTTGGCAACTGCCTCTTCAGCAACAGGGTAAGAGCATAAGTTAGGTTTTAAAATTCAAAATGTGTTTTTAGTCAACTGTAGATGAAAACCATAACAATGACCTTTAATCTGGGGGCAGATGATGTACACTCTTGTGTTCTGAGCAGACAGAGTTGGTTTCATTAGAATTAGCAGGTAAAAGGCTGGTTCAAAACCATCTGACACAGCTCTGATCTCCCCGGAGGACGGGCCATCAGGCCAGGGACAGAACCAGGTAGTTTCTCTCTCTTTTTGCTAGTGCCAACATGGAGAATATGGTAAGAACACATGGACAACTAAGTGATCATCAAGTTATGCAAAAGCAAAGACCTGCTGCTAACAAGTCTGTTATTTTCCCAATCAAAGAAAGTAATCTTAAAATAAGGGAAACAATCTAAAATTATATATGCATGTGTGTCCTTTTTTATTAATGTTTAAAATATTTAAGTAAAGTATACAAAAAACACCTAGCATTTATATGAGGAAGTGGCTCTTTGAATAATTCATAGAAAAATTTTCTGGTGAATCTAGAGAATGAAATTATCTGTATCAAGTTGCCCAAAAACACTTTTAGTTATTACCATACTATTTATGCAAAAACAAGAGTTATTAATGACTTTAAAATGTTAGTTTAATCATGAATGATCATTTCCTGGATGATTCATTCTTATTTTAAAATATCATATTCCAATGTAGATCTGCATTTCCTATTAGTTTAAGCTATAATAGACATTGATTGTATGTATTAATGTATGATTAATTGTATGTATTAATTGTTTGGTATTAAGCTCTCTCTTCTAGGTAGGTAAATGAGGACTGGGGGCACGTTTAATGATTATTTTTGTGGCAGCATTTTGGGCAGATTATGTGACTTTTAGAAAGAAATAGGTCCAAATATATAAATTGCTAATTTGATTGAAAACCCAAAAGAATGGCATTCAATTTCTTTTTCCTTGGTATTAATTACTAAAAATTTTGAGATCCACGAATTGTAGCTGGCAGTGACTTGGTACTTATTATTGTCTGGGGAATTGATAAATGGTAGTTGTCTGATGCCCTTGCTAGGCATGAGTATTCTTAAAATACGTCCTAGGGCCAAAGAGACCATTTTGCTCTAAAAGCTACTGTTAAGCAAAACAGCAAAGTTGCCAAAGAACCACAGAGACTGGATAGCATTTCAGAATGGTATCCAAATCTCTCCACTAAATGAAAATGATAGAACCTTCATCGGTTAAAATTCATTTTATCTAAACAAACACTTCTGTGCCTTTAAAAACGAGTATAAGGAAGAAAGTTAAAACTAGGCCTGGGATGAGGGTGGTTTACAATAGAACCAAAGCCAGCTGTATCTCCTAATTAGGGTTTCACTATAGAAGGCTTTTTGTCTCCTATTCAGTTAATTATATTTGAGTGTCAACAGTTTCTTCCCTTTAGGCATCACCAAGAGGCAGGAATTTAACAGGAATCTTAGTTTCTTTCAGGAAACCGTAGAATGATAGAATGTTTCCTCTTCTGTCCTATTTGAAACCCCAGCCAGTGGTCAAAAATGTTTTTAAAAGTCCCAGATATTGCCTCTTTATATTTAACATCACCAACATTTTCCATGTTCACACAGATCTGTATTATCATAGATTTCTTATTTTGAAAGCTTAATTGTTGAAAATCCATTCTGATGATGAAATTTGCAAGCCAAAATTTGAGATTATCTCTTCAAATCAGGTGATTATCTTTTAAAACAGCCTTTGAAAGTATCCCTATAATGCTACTTCCCCACCCCCCCAGTATTTAAAGATTGACTTTCCATTCTTGTCTTAGCATTTTTATCCTGTATTATACATGGATTATAAACCTATTTCTAAAAGTTTCTACTTTCTCCTATTTTCTGTCGGCTACTAAAATTTATTTTAAAGGTGACTCTTCAGTGAGAATCGATCTAATCATAATAATTAGATTAAATAAATTGAAACAAATGTTCTAGTGAACTATTTTTTGAGTGTAGGACTAGGTCCTAAAATATGTATATTCCAGATAGTTTCTTGCTTAAGTGTCTGTTTTCTTTCGCAGACATAAAGACATGGCTGAATTCTGGTGGAATAACTCCATCTTTGCTTCAAAAAAGAAAAAAAAAGACACAAAAGATTGACAGTACATATTAAATACCATGTATATTTAATTTAAAGTCACTGGATAGTGCCCACCAGCCACTCCTTGGAAGGAAGGTTGGGCAATCAATCTACTTCCGTAGTGATACTGCCTTGGAAACCCAAGGAGGGGTTGCTATGAGTAGGGTCTGACTCAACGGCACATAACAACAACAACATGGTGCAAATGGTTAACACACTCAGCTGCTAACTGAAAGGTTGGTGATTTGAGCCTACCCAGAGTTTCCTGGTGATCTTCTGAAAAAATCAGCCATAGAAAATCAGAAGTTTTACTGTGATGCACATGGAGTCACCATGAATCAGGGTCAACTTGACAGCAACTGGTTTATATATTTAATTTAATATAGTTGATAACATGTATAAAGGTAAATATAATTATGTATACATATATTAATGTATAGAAATGCCTATTTACATCCTTTGTAATTATTTCCTTTTTAAGGCTCAACATGTGTACAGCATTTCCTACTAAAATACATCAAAAACAGGCAACAAATATTTAGACCTCATAATTAAAGCATCCAGCCCATCAGCTAAGCTTCTTTTTAAAATGGGGTGTTTTTGGCCTTCCTTTGTATCAGACAAAAATAATTGGCCCTTTCAATGCAAAACCAACTAGGTGCACAGCAAAAGCAAACAGGTCCCTCTCCAATCCAAAGAATGTGGCATTTTCTTTGGAAAGTCTCTTGAATCCTTTCCCTTCCTTAATGACCTGACAAGAGCCATTCCAGTGATTTTAAGAGTCATGACTGACAGCTCATACCTGTGGCCTACCCAGAGCATAAGAGTCCAATTTGACTGAGATAATAAATAAAATCTCACCGTACTATTATAGGATGTTTGGCAA